GTTGAAGAATTCATAATGTCAGGAATTTGCAATAGACCATCTTTTCCTACATCACCTGATGTCACGAAAAGAGATGATATTTATTTTAATAATTTTATACAGTTAACCCATCAGGATATCTATATGTCAGAACTTAGGGCTATTCCAGACGAATTACTAGCTCAAGCAAAATACATCTCTGTAGCAGTTTGTCTACTTATATTTTACATGTGCAATACATTTAAACTTATAATTTTAAAAGTCTTAAATTATTTACAAAATCCATCTTACTGAATTGGTTTCAACTTGAACAACTACAAATTTCTTAATAGTTTTTGATACTTGTATCGAGAACTATTACAAAAGGATAGGCCTTTATCACTCCTGGAGACGCGCTTCTATATCCTGTACTGGAATTATGGGCAGAGTGAGGTTTTGCATGAAATCAAACACAATGGCAGCAACCGTATCATCTGTATTATTTTTTTCGGCATCTAATTTCAACTTTGAATACAATTTTCGAGCTCTCCTTTTATGGATCATCAAATCAGCCTCAGCATTCCTCTTTGCTGCCTCATAAACATGTGAGTTTTTTATTTTAGTAGTGAGCATTTTACACTCACAGCAACAATCAACTTGAGGCTGACCGAATCCTGAGATTGAAATTATCTTTAAAAAATTGATAAAAAGTTGTAAACCCGACTGTACTTTCCCTATGTTTTTGGTTGTACATTTTCCATATAGTTTTAATATCAAGTCTTTCGTTCGGGTATTTAATCACAGTGCCAGTGTAGTGGCTAGTTTCTGTTGGGTAACTGCTGATGTGTGATTGCATTTTGAGCAAGACCTCAGCAGACAGAGCATTTAAACTTTCCGGCTTTCCCCTCATATCCTTGGGTGAAACCCCTAAGTTGGCTAGTTTGTTGATTCTCTTCAGACGTTTTAGAGAAATTGAATAAAGAGATAAAAAAGCATTTCGACAAACCTCTATGGTTTTTTCCCCAAGCAAAATATTATATGTAAGTACCATCCGAGAAAGTGGCTGTTGTCCTCCACGATTTCGTTTTCTTGCAGCATGAGTTCGTTTGACAAGGTTTTGTAAGAATACATCTTGCTCGTCCTTTGAGTTTAAATTTAAAAAACGCTGGAGTATATCTTTTTTGTCATTATTGGAAAGTGCCATGCAAACCTTTTTGCACCTATTAATAACAATACATCTCCTATCAATAAAATATTCATGAAAAGAAATAAAAAATTTATTAACTTACTTGCACGTGTTCGGTCCGGATTGCTTAGCAGGAACCTGCTATTAGGAAAGGATTGCCTTTAGTGTTAACATAAGGCAAACCGCTTTTTCTCGCTTTCTTGGCAATATTACGTTTCCAAAGAGATGGATCGCCTTTTAGCTTTTTTGATGGATTATTAAATTCTTCATCCATAATGAGCACAATATTATGCACAATTATTATTTTTTGTTAGTAAATAATTAAGCGCACAATACAGTTCTTAAACCACGTTGTTTATTAACGAGTAAACAAAAAAAAAAGTTTTCTTGTACCATAATAAATTGATATTAAATATCAAGAGATAATAATACAAAAAAAACATCAATTGATAGTAGAATAACACTACATGATTATAAGACAGACGAAATAAAAGATAAGTGATAAAATAGACGAGATACAACAATAGAAATTTAGAATGAATGTAAAAAGGGACCTTAGTCCATAAATAAGGCCCCTTTTCGCATGAATCGGAAATTAAACAAGCTGTTTTCTAGACCACGGAATGTCTGAATAAGGTCCTTTCTAGCACAAATCGTTGAATCTACCCCCTAACAATAAAAATCCGTGGTTAACCCGTTCAGACCTGGAATTAATTTTTTTGAGCTAGATTTTATTTGTTGATCAATCCTCAGTAATGGGATGCTTAATGAGTTAAAACAATTTTTTTTTTTTTTTTTACCTAATTTGCATAGGAAATAATGAGGTAGGGGGCATCAGGCGTATTCGAAGACAACAATACAACTTATATTAAAATACAAATAGTATTATTATAGTGTAAAAATTATAACTAACTTTTACAAATTCTTAATTAATATTACACTCTTACCCTCACCATGAGCTCTTTTGTTTGTATACACTTTATTATAAACATCTTCTTTTAAAAGGAAACAGAATTCTTATAACTTGTTAGTTTTCATGAAATTTGTTGTAATATACATAATCACAGTAACTGTTATAATAGTAACTTCTCCTTACAAATTTGAAAAATAAAAAAAATTACTTATGAAAAAAAATAATCATAACAGTAAAAATTAACAAAAACAGTAGGCAACCCTTATAATGAGTAAATAGTAAAAAGTTTTTACCACATTAGTTATACAATACATATCACAGTAACTGTTACAATAGTAATTGCTCATTACAAATTTGAAAAAATAAATAAAAAGTAACATGAAAAAAAAATAATCAAAATAGTAAAAATCAACAGAAACAGTAATTTTCTATTTCAATAAGAAAATTATAAAAAATTACTTATTGGGTATGTTTTGAACGGAAACACTCTCTTCCAGGCACAAAACATAAATGTATGTTGCATTTAATGCAATATACATGTGTCTTATATTTACAATACTTACACCTAGTACTGTTGGGCTTGTTATCAAAAGTGGGAATATGATTTAGCTGATCTTTAACAGTTTCTTCATAGGCGAATGAATCTACAGATCTTGGTTTGGTTTTTGATCGTTCTACTGACTGTTGCACTGGAGATGGTGTTAGGGAAAGTAGAAGGGGAATGTATGTACTGGAACAATGTGGGGATTGGGGATTAGCCTTGGATATTAGTTTTGGGGATTGGGGATTACGCAAGTGGTGATCGGATAATTCACAGCTGTCTTGTACCCCGCCTCACGTCGTCTTGTAGGTGTCTCGGCCGCCGCCCGGAGAATGGCCGTCGGCCGCCGCGGAGATGAATGGATGACGGTGTAACAATGAACTCCGCCTCGTTGACCCTAACCTTACCTAACCTAACCCAATCGGCAAATTTTAATGTATTATATTTAAAGAAAAAAATCTTTATTATTTTTATCAAATTATATCAATTTTTATATTATTATTTTTAACAGCTAATTTTTTTTTAATTTTCAATCTAACCTTACCTTTTTTTTTTTTTTGTGTTATAATCGTAGCGCTGTAGAGGGGAACTTTACCTTATAGGTCATCCTTCCCTCTACATCCACATCATTTATTAATAAATGTAATACTGTTACAACTTAGCAATATTTTTACAAAATAGTTGGAGGGCTCTTCCCTCCTGCTGTGGCCTTCGGCCTATAATAGATTTTTAACTAAAGTAATATGTATCTTTCTTCTTTCTGGCGTGTTCTTTCCTCTTCTTCCCTCTTTGTAAGTATGCCACTGACAAACTGTCCGACTGCGTTCCAGTTGTCTCGGTTCTTCAACATCAGGTCCACCATTACTTCTGGCTCCAGTGTCTTTTCCATCTTGGCCTCTAGGTCCCGTCTCTGTCTCCACCATCGATCGCAATGGAAGATTGCATGATCAGCATTGTCTCTCGGAGCAGAGCAGTCCAAGCACCTGGGGTCCGTCGTTCTCTTAAATCTGTGTAGATAATCCCGGAAGCAACCATGCCCGGTGAGCATTTGTGTAAGGTGAAAATTGATCTCTCCATGTTTCCTCGTTGCCCATTTTTTCACGTCTGGAATCATCCTCCTGGTCCATCTGCCCGACTCCGCATCATTCCTTACCTAACCTAACCTAACCTTTCACCGATGTTTTAAGCTGTTATAATTTTTAACGGCCATTTCTTATTAATATTATTTTTGGATAATACATATAAAATATTATATTACTTTTAAATTTTCTTATAACAAACTAATGATTTTATAACTTACATTAGTTTATAATGTCCATAAGGTAAATTATGTATACGGTCAGGTAATACAACTCTCTTGTCGTCATGTCGATTTAACGCTAGCTTGAGGGTTGAAATGGTTTTAATATTATGTTTATAAGAACGGAATGAGTTCATCGTACGGTATGGATTGAATGCAGCAGGGTCTTTTCCATTGATACCTTGGAATAAACAATCCATATGATCCTCAAATGTCATGTGGTTCTTTATTACATGGTAAGCAACGCCCTTAGCTTTAATATGCTCATGTCCAACCTGTATGTAACCATACGATTTTGGTTTTAGAGCCACTTGTTCTGAGATAATTTCACCTCCAGTCCCATCTAAAACATATTAGAATTATTATCTATATACAATTAAAAAAAAAGAAACTTATATTGTATAACTAACCTGTGAAAGTTCCGGGAACTTTTTTTCTCTCGATTCTATAACACGGATGAGATGGCGGGAAATTAGATGTATCCAATTTTTCCAGAAAACCTGATTTGGTTAGCATGTCATGGTAAAAGTCATCTGTCTTAATTAAATACATTAGAGAATCTGAAAATATTAATAATAAATATATATAATAGTTCTTCAATAAAAAAAAAAATAAATAATAGTATTACCTGTATCCATGTATAACAGTTCTATGTCACATCCATAGTATTTTTTCATTACATTGTAATGAAAATTATACATTAAAGTCTTGGAGATTTCCAAGACAGTAAATCCTACATAAATAGGTTTATCAAAAGTTAAAACTGCCTTGTGGAGGTGTACCGCATACAAGTTTTCATTGTATTGCGTTACACCCTTAAATGTAGGCTTGTTTATCAGTTTTTGAAAAGCTACAGGATTGCAAACAAGAGACATCTTCATACGATTGCGCACATTCTCCATGGTTTTACCTATTAAAATAATTAAGATGATATTATTTTTTAAAAAAATTATTTTTTTTTAAATATAATTATATATACACATATACCAAAAACTGCGTTGTTCATAAGTTTAAAGAAGTCCTTTTGGAAATCGTCGGTTGCTTTTTTCCTCATTTCCGTATTGAGTGAAATATAGCTAGCTAACCAAGGGCTTTAGTCAAATTGAAGTACCTTATGCACCTTTTTTAAAACAAGACCCTCCTTCAGAGCCTGCTTTAAAATTGAGTGGTGCACAATATACTTTTTTTTATCGTTTAACGTCAAGATTAATTTTTTTATCTTTGAACCAGGAGGGGTAATCTTCTCACACATAAACGGCAGATCTGAATGTTGATCATGAAGGGATTTCGGGTATTCGACATCAACCTCTAAAATCAACCCGTTTTCCGATTTGTCATCTATTCTGTCTAAACGGTTTTTAACAGATTGTACAGAAAGATTTCCTTCGTACCATTTGAAGTTACCAGTTGGTATCGTTTGTGACATTGCCCAACCATATCTAAAATAATTATATGAAAATTAAAAAAAATAAACTATAAATACAGTTTTCACATTATTATTACTCACAGATTTGTTGCATCAAGATATGTTATCCATCTGTTTGGTTCTTCAGGATTGTATACGGGTGCCTTGCTGTGGTTAGCTTTAGAGTATCTCTTTGAAGCTTGACAGATTCCTCCTCTTACACCTAAATTAGATAACGATTGTTAAAGATGTAATATCAGCGAAACTATAATTGTTATTACCTTGCTCGAACATAAGTAACATGTCATAGTCTGATATCAATTCCAACTTGGCTTCAGTGTATTTCAAACAAACATCGAAACTCATACCAGGGATAGTATAATAATGACAACAATCGATTTCATGTTTTTAAACAGAGCTCCCTAAAAGCTTCAAAAACATCACATAAAATATGTACATCCAATTCATTATACCTGAAAAATATAAATAATTGTCAGACTAAGATAGAATACTATTAAATATATCACATACCATAAGCTGTATTCGCTTAAAGTTTTGAATTTAAAACGTTTCCATACATTTTGAGCGTGTTTATAGTCATCTTGGGAAATATTTTTCTCAGTCAGTGAACTAAAAAAAAAAAAAATTGTTTTTAATTTATTTTATTATTATTATTATTATTATTTTTATGTAATATAATTATTATAATTCACCTGTAAAACTGTTCTATAGGCGGTAGACACTGTTCTTCCAATTTTTCCCATGAGTCAGTATAATCGTAACAGTAAACACCTTTACGAGTAACCATATCCAAATCATCTTCACCATATGCATTTATCACAGAACGGAACTTTGTCTTATCGGATCGAGCAAGGTTATTGGCTAATTTTTCCAAACTACTAGTCATAAAACGATAACTATCCATAAAACGTATGGAAAACCTATTCGAAATATATTTTGAAAAAGATATAAATTTTTCTTCACTATTCAGAATAACGTTTATTGTATGCGGATCGTGCCCTAATTCGTTTATTATTATATGACTATCATAACTTGAGAGATTATGCATGATACAACTTACGAACTTTGAAGTTTGCATCTTTAAGTTACACCTATTACAGACAGTCTGTCTATATCTACCGCTTAAATGGTGGTGATCACGTACCGGATTATTTGTTAATGAAAATTTACATTTACAAAGAGGACATTTACCACCGTTCACGATAGACTTATGGTTACTTTCGTTCTGTGATGTCATACATATAGGAGTGTTGATTTTTAAAAGCTGTTCAATTTTACGTGCCACATTAGTAATGCTCTGTATAAAATGCTTTGGTACATCGTTAGCCTCAGAATTTGCATTACCTTTGTATACAACCGGGGATTGCGGTATGTCGAATTGATCCATTAGCTCTGTTGGTACATCCTCGCTAGCTTTAACTAAATAACAATAACTCATGGGAACATGTTCTTGAGTGACAGTTGTTTTCCCAAAATGGTTATCCCCTACAGGTTTCTTCAACAAACACTCGAAATCTGCTTAAATAACAAAATCGATTTTTTGTGTGTTACCCCAGTTCTCAAACTGCATGTACGTATTTGGCGGTGGTAGAATTGGAGTTACTGACTCGTTCTTGACGCATATTCGTTTATGATCTTCAAGTCTAGCTTCTTTATCAATTTTACCCGGTTCATCGATGTACACCTTAAAACAGCGTCTGCAGATGGCTTTTTCCTTGGTGTTTTTAGACAATTGACATCCAACCAATCTTGCAAGATTCTTGATGTAACAGTAGTGATATACTCCCTCTCCGTTGCTGAAATATAATAAATCGTAATGATCGGGTAGTTCACGGTCACACGCCTTGTACGGGATAATAATGAATTCGTTTTTTTCTGCTTTTTGAGACGTCTGGCCGTTGTTATTCTTAGATTTATTTTTATACGTTAAACTCCCCTTCTTGAAGCCGTACACGTTTATCGATACCCCTGGATTATTTTTTTCAAAATGTTTCACCTCAGATAATGGCATGGGGAATGTAATTCCCGAAAAATTGTGTCTGCTTGGTACATTCTGATAATGTGTGATACAGGGATGATGGGGTTTGGTGCAGTAACGTCCTTAGCCATAATGCTGTATTTGAAGCACATATTGTCATTATTTTGTACGTTTATTGTTGCCTTACGATTTTCAATTGTTTCCGGAAGCGGTATAAAAGCTGAACCTCCAAGGGGTGTATATTTAAATATATCGAGTAGTACACCGTCAATTTTCTCTAAAGAAAACCCGGATCCTTTCCCCTCCATCTCAGCCTCTTCAGAAATTAACTTAGCAAAATCCTCGTCTATTGCCGATTCAATGTTTGTGTCTTGAAATAGAGTTCTTGCTGATGTCTTGAATGCTTTATTTTCCAAAACTTCTGTAGAAGGGATTTTATACGTCGATTCTAGTTTTAATGTATACTTAACCGCATTTTCGGCTACAAGTGTTCTTAATAATTCGAATAGTTGCGGTTTGGTATCAGCCAGGAAAGAGTCATAATCAGCTAACTGATTAAAATTTCTTCTGTAGAAAGTTTTACAAAGCCCGTTGAATCCACTGTTAGTTAATACAAATCCATCTACTTGAGTAGCAGCTAGTCGATGCAGCTAGTTTAAATCGGGTGTTAGATTGGTTGATGTTGTCTCTTTGTCGTTTACCTACACCTAATAATAAAGTAATATTCCCTACTTAATATAATACGTTTACTATAATTTTCTAATCAACTTAAATAAAAACTAAAAAAATATCAGGCGTTGAAGATAGGCAATTTTTATGTAAATATTTTATCGTTTAAAAATAATTTCAGTTAAAATAAAAAACGATCGTAGGCGGTGATCGATTTTTATATAAATAGTTTATCGTTTAAAATTTGTAAATCACTTTGCAGAGTTCTATTTAATTAATATGAGAAATATTTATACATTTAATCGTAAAACAAATTAAAATAATGGTTTTACTAATAATTTAACCAAGTTGTAATAATATCTATTTAAACGATTAGATTTATTTCTAATATATTATTAACTAAATTTTAATCTAACTATATCCTATCGTTTCACTTGTAACAAACTATATTATTGACTAACCTGATCCACTTGCCGAGGTTGATTGTATATGTTCGGGAGTCTGTATGCAGTCCGGTAAATTTGCCGATGTTGTTGGAATATTATCATACGCTTGAATACATAATTCATCACCTTCACTATCGAAGAAGCTTTTATGTGATGTGTCCCTTTGTCCTAAAAAAAAAAATTTACTTAATAATATTTACTATTTTACAAAAAAAAATGTTTATACTAACCTAATGTTGGATGTGTGTTGTATAACGCTAGTACGTTGCTGTAAACGCTCGTGTCTTCCATCCTGACCAGCTCCGGCTGTATGAAAATATATATTTATTTAATTAAATCACTAAATTTTTTTAAATTAAAAAAAATGTATCTTATTTTAAATAATTCACATACCATGCTTCCTTTTGCAGTGTCGAGTAAGATTGATTTTAATTTCGCAATCATATTCACATTCACCGCAGTAAGATCGAACACCATCATGAGTTTTAAGATGACGGTTTAAATTATGCTTTAAAGAGTACACCTTTTTACAAATATTACATTGATACATGATTAAAAATTTAATATGATCAATATAATATTAATAATATAATAATAATTGATTAATATTAATATATTATGTTAAATGCGTAAAAAAAAATGAATTTCGTTATAAAGTTAGTAAGCAATATCTTATATAAGCGTTAATATATTGTATGCGTTAGTATGTTAAATTTATGCGAAAGCGAAAATATATTTAAAATTAACAATAATAATAATATTAAATATGATAATTTGTTTTTAAAAAAACACAAAACCGATAATATTAAAATTAAACACTGAAAAATAAATGTAATATTTTAACGGAGTGAAAACTAAGATGCACTTGCTAACGTTTTCGCTGTAGAACCAAATCTGACGTTGTTAGAAATATTGGTTCACTAGCATGGTCTAAGATTTAATCATAAACTCCCTCCAACAAGCAAAATAATCATCCCTCCCAACTCGTTGGAAGGGATGATATTTCGTTTCAGATTGCATCTACCAAACATTAGCACTGGTCTGAACCTGATTTTTTTTGAGTGCGTTATAAGATTCTATGGAAAGACCTTTCGTTGACCGAAACGAAATTTATGTGTATATTTTTACACGTAAATACTATTTTAAAATGACCATACGCATCGCCACATGGGGAGGATTTTTTAAGCAAACAACCCAAATTCTTCGATAACATGGTTACACGGTAAATTTACGATTTATATTTATAAAGAAAAAAACTGGGTTGACCTTTTCTGACGATATATTAGTATAGTACATAGTATACATTATTTTAAAATAACCTTACACGTCGCTACATGTGGGAGGATGATCTTTACGTGACCAATCCAAATTCTTCAGTTTTACATCATGTATAACTTAACCTAACGGTAAATTTACTATCTACATTTATAAAGAAAACTTCTCGGGTACATACACAATATTTTTTTTGAATCTATATATCCTGGAAAATAATTAGATACGTAAATCAACATTTACTGTTAACCATTTCAGTGAACAACCCGTGTATTTTTTTTAACTTAAAATATTAGCAAATTAACTATGTCAAGTCTATCAGAAATTTATACAAGAAACGATATATTTACCTCACGTTTTGTTTTTGAGCGTATATCTCAATATCCTCTAAAATACGGGGTAGATCATATACGACGATATTCAAGTGCGTTTACCGAATGGAATGCCGCGTATTGTTGTAAACGTTTCAACAGTTGCGATTATATATGCAATGAACGCCCGTGTTGGAGTATTTTTGTAGGCATAGAAAGACAACCTGAATTTGGGGTAAGATCATTTGCCATCAACGATATTAATGGACTTTTCGCATTTATGCGTTTAATGCATTGTAAACAATGCAGACGTCCACTGTACCGATGGCTCACACTCGATAGACCAATCGCCAGGAATTGGAGCCTGTTTACATTAGAGAAGTTCGTAAATTACGTTGATCTACCTATTGAATATGTTAGCTTGTAATTTTTTTTTACTAAAATTAGATTTAAGAAACCAGAGTTATTTAATGTAAATTTTTTTTATTAATATTAGATTTTAAGAGGTATGATTGTGACTTAAATATTTTACCTAAAAGAAACTTTTTTTTAAAAAAACAATAAATCCTCATTTTTTTTAGTTAACTATGTATTTAATTTAATTGAATTTAATAAATTTATTTAAACTAAATTACCATGACTCGTCTATGAACTAAATATCTATCCTTATTATTTTTAAAAAAATGTAGCCTGGATTAATCGTTTCTATAACACTATGGTTAGTAAGAATTGTAAAAAAAAAAAAAAAAATCTTACCATAATATTTACATAATTTCACCTGTCTGTGAGCTTAAGGTGTGGGTGTGTATGCATGATTTCTATGCGTTATAAGGATAAAATATTGTACTAAATGGAAACTTACCATTTTTACTTGTAAGGTTTGTATTAAATAAAATATCGTATTCTATGACATCAGCTAAACAGTGTGTTAAAACAAAATTTAAAAGTAATATAATATTTTATATGTATTATCCATAAATAATATTATTAAGAAATGGCTTTTAAAAATTATAACAGCTTAAAACATCGGTGAAAGGTTAGGTTAGGTTAGGTTAGGTTAGGTTAGGTTAGGATAAATATTATAAAAATAACTAGCTGTTAAAAATAATAATATAAAAATTTATATAAGTTGATAAAAATAATAAAGATTTTTTTTCTTTAAATATAATACATTAAAATTTGCCGATTGGGTTAGGTTAGGTAAGGATAGGGTCAACGAGGCGGAGTTCATTGTTACACCGTCATCCATTCATCCCCGCGGCGGCCGAAGGCCATTCTCCGGGCGGCGGCCGAGACACCTACAAGACGACGTGAGGCGGGGTACAAGACAGCTGTGAATTATCCGATCGCCACCTGCGTAATCCCAAATCCCCAAAACTAATCTCCAAGGCTAATCCCCCAGTTAATCACCAATCCCCAATCCCCAATCACCCCATTGTTCCAGTACATACATTCCCCTTTTACTAGGGAAGGTCTACCTCTTTTCCTTGCTGGAGTTATTATTGTTGTAGATTTGCCTATTACTATAAGAGTTTTTCCTAAACGTTCTTTGAATGCTTATAAGTCCATTGTATCTTTTTTTCCAAGTTTATGATGTAGAGCATCTTTCCTATATTCCAACCAACTATTGACAGCAGTCATATCAAACGAATGCACAACCATTCTTAAAGTCCATTTGCGTGACTTCATAAATATTCTATAAAAACTTACTAACTGGTCATGAACATCAACCCCGCCCATTGATTTATTGTATAGGCCAATAATCTCAGGTCTTTCAACATCTACAAATTCTTTGTTCTTCTTGTCCCAACGTTTAATGGTTTCAGGTTTACCAGATGTTATGAAGTTTGAACCCATAACAACACCTTTATTATCGAACCATTTTATCAGCCCAACTTAATTTTTTTGGTGTTCTACAGTTCCTGTTATTTCATATGATGTGCCACGACCCATTTTTGACAAGCATTTATCTGTGATGAGTGGAGGATTGGGAAATCTGGGCACGCGTACAGTCCCAGCTGCATGTTTTTTTTTATCTGCTAGAACTGAGAGTAAATTGTAAGATGTAAAAAAGTTATCAAAATAGACAAAGTGTCTGTCTCTTTTTAGACGTTCAATAAAATGCATAACTACAACTCCGCCTTGGCCAAATATTTTTTGTACATCAGGGTCTAATTCAGTAGTACTTCCTTGAAACATTATAAAGTCATACACAATACCACTAGAACCACACATTAAAAATATTTTAATTCCCTAAGGATGAGGTTTTCCTCTCATGTATTTGCTTAGGACCAAATTTTCCTTTAAATAGAACTCTTTGTTCATCGATACTTATATTGCGTTCTATTGGTAGATCATAAAACCTTTTTTTTAAAAGAATAAATAGAGGTCTCACTTTTACAAACTTATCTGTGTTTGTAAGAGGAATCTCTTTATTAATTATAACACGAAAATGTGAAATTCATTCTGATCTAGTCTTTGTCCAGCAAAGTTATTTATTTTATTATTTTAGCTACTCTACTAATATAAAGTAGTATTCCAATACTAATTAGTCATTAGTGTACATAGTCATAGTTTCTAGTTCAGAGTAATAGAATAAAACTATAGTAGAGAAAATATTGCCAATAATCCAAAAGATCTACATTAGTCAATGAATGTTATTTGTAAAAATGAATAAGAACAACAGTATTTTATAATTATATATGCCGCAGTTTATTATGTAGGCACAAAATATAAACGATTATTTGTGATGCAAATATCATCTCTAGGAACACAATGTAGAGAATATGTCTCTACTTCATCCCTAGGCATTGCATATGGTCGGGCTTAGGCCTGCGCGATAGTCATTCATTATGGTCGATAGTCGATGGTGTTAAAATAATCGATAGTATTGGATAAAAATGAAAAAAAATCGGTTACCTCCCCAAAAAAAAACCAAAAATTATAACTGCCAATTTTTTACATCATAAAAACTAAAAAGTAACACATCTCTCGTATTCTCGTAATTAGAAGCTAAAGGATTATCCCGAAATTTGCATTTTAAAGAGGGGCTCAAAAAGGGATTTTAAGATTCACGAAGGAAAAAAAGTATATATAAAATCAACAAGTAGGTATTTATAATTTGACTATTAAATAAATCAGTAAACTTCGCTTAAAACATAAAAAAAAATAAGAACAAAATAACATTTTTGTTCTGTCAACTTGACAACAAATATAAATAATTCTTTCTGCTTTGATACTTAAAATAACATAAGTAATCACAATATTAACAGCTTAAAATTTGTAAATGTAACATAAAAATAAAATTAATAGAAGATCAAAATATTCATATCAGTCTGAATGTTTCATATCTTAAACTGTAGGCTTAGGAACATAGTCCTTGTTCATTGATAAAATAACTAATTGACTTGCATGTTCACTTGAAAGTGAAGCTCTATGGTCTGTAACTACTAACCCACCTTTGCTGAACACTCTTTCAGATGCAACACTTGTCGCTTGAATACATAGATATTTTTTTAGCCAGAACACTCAAAAGTGGATATGTGCCATTATTTAATGCCCACCATTTTAATGGGTCTTGTTCATACGGCACCTTTGAAAATTCAACATATGATTTTATTTCTTTCTCTATTTTTGAGAGTATAGTTATTTCAGTTTCTTCGTCATTCTAAAAATAATAAAAATATGTAATACCTAAAGAATTAATTTAAGAGAATTAACTAATAACTATAAGACAACTTTTATATTCTTACTTCATTATTGATGGATTCATCAAAAATGACAGAGAGCCCAGTCTTTGTTTTTTTCTGAGTATTAGGATTATTCAATTGGAATATAGAATTAGCTGCATCACTAGTTCTAGTGTTGGTAGACCATTCTATCCATGATTCCAGGCATTTTTCACAAATAATTTTTTTTATTAATTCGATTCTATCGATATATCCGATTAATCGATATATATATATTTTTAATTATATCGATTAATCGATACTATCTAGCATGAAAAACGATTAATCGGTATATCGGCACAGGCCTAGTTGGGCTTGAAATACACGGTAGTCGGGCTTTCGAAGACACTTAATTGAGGTTTATTAAAGTAATTAATATCCACCTTACACAAGCGATGCTTATTTTTTGGGGGTAAATTAAAATAATCGGAAAAAATGTATTTATTTTTATGTACAGTGATGTACTAACAGGGGGGTTCGGGTTCAAACCCCCAAAGCCAAAAAAGAAATTGTGTTTTAAGTATATTATAGGTATTTATTATATAATTGTTACAATGTTACTCTCTGAAGTAATTTAGAACTTGAAGTAAATAAATAAAAAATTGTCAAATAATGTATTTTAAGCTGGATAATACGTTATTCCATAAGTTACAGTACAAAAATGAGTGGTTGTACGTAGCTAAGGAAGACTCGATCGTCATTGCTTGTACTGAATTCAAGGAATCAAAGAACTCACACGGTTCAAGGAGTGGAGACATTGCATCTAGATCCTACCTGCAAGGTTTATGCAACACACGACGTGTTGATTCCTATTTCTGTGAAAATCACTAAGGAATTTGCAGATTTTATACCTAGTACTAAGTTGTCAGTGGATAAATCGTTATTTAATAAAATACATTTTCTAGTTCCGGAAGCCAAATCTATTTTAAACACGAATCAGTTTGACGACTTACCAGCAGTGGGCAAGTCGTTGTCTCATTTGCGGGAATTAATCAGCGCAACGGTGAATCTGGAACAAGGCCAAGAACAACAGCCGGTGTACAACTATGTGATTTCGGCGGCCTTGGTCATGATCATTGCAATCGGCTGTGCAGTTGGGGTCATTATCATCCGAAAGGGACGATTCATAGTCAGCTGTCAGCCAGCCAACAGAGTCAAAGCCATCGACGAGGCTTATGAGCTTCCAACAGCAGCCAACATCAGTGAACAAACTGACGAGTCAATATCAACAGACATCACCAACGAACCGCAAACTGATTCGCGTTTATCTAATCCTACAATCTCCTATCTTAATATTTTATATCCAGGTATGAAAATGTATTCAATATCTAACTAACCCAAGCATTAAGTAATGTTTATATAATGAAAATAATTAATTTTTACTAGGGTACTATTTTGTGTTTTTCGAGTGTGTATAAATTAATTTTTTAAATAATGTTTGTTTCAAAATATTATTTTCAATAATATTTTTTATCTTAAGAGGGGAGGAACTATGGGGAGGAAATATGTACTGGTCCTCGTATTTTTTAGATAGTAGTTATATAGATAGTAGATATTTAGATAGTAAGTATATTTAGACACCGTGCCGTGTGCAAAACCCTGCGGACGTGTGTATAGTTAGACTAACGATATATAAGGGATTCCGCACCGTATGGTCGGGATCCACTTGTTGTTCTAGCTATGTAACGTAGATTATATATTAAATTTAGTGTGATCATTACAAAGTATTCAGAAGCTGTCCGTCTCTCGCTTACGGGGAAATCTTACGTGTTAGATTGATTATTGTAACTCCGTGACGAGAACGACAGTGTTCTTTTTATGTGTTTTTACTTATTGTGTTTATTAAATATAATCGATTGATTAACTACATATCCATATCTTTTGAACAATCAACCTTCGTCTACACAAGAGCTCTATTTTTCTACGTGTACTGGCAAGTCATCCTGGCCCAGTACATTACTCATTATATGTCTTGAAGATAACAACTGGACTGCATTAGTTATATTAGCAGCATTGTCATGACTGATTCCTGAAACTGTATTTTCTAAACCCCAATCAGATAATAAAGTTTCAATTGATTCTGATAAATGTTCAGATGTATGACTTAGGGTAAGTTCAAAAGTTGACATATTAAGGGGATGTAATTTCCATTTATCGTCTAAGTAATGGCCAGTTACAGTCATGTATGAATCTATACTTCTAGAGGTCCAGCAGTCTGTATTTAAGCCCGCTGACTCGATTGACAACAGTTTAGCTTTTATTGAATCTATTTTCTCTGAATCGTATGCTTGTATACGAGTTTGAATTGTTTTCCTACACGGTATCTTATAATTCGGCTCAATGACATTAAATTATTTTTTAAAGCCTCCATGTTCAACAGTATTTATTGGCATTAAATCTACACATATTATGATACACATTGCCTGTGTTATCAGTTCAGAACAGCTTTTCGATACGTGTCGTGTTATAGCAGATGCAGTGACATTAGATACGCGATTTCTTATTTACATGATAATTAGACATAGATGTACTGGGATTACTAGGCGGAACTAAAATAGTAGACGATTCATTAGATGTAGTGACCTGTTCTTCAATTATTTCGCTATCGGAATCTAACAAATCGACACTGTCTGAAATGTGTATTTTATATATTTGTTTAATGAGTACGGTTGTTATATGTAATAGTATAGTGTATGATTAATGATATTAATCATACACTATACTATTATGCTGTATGATAACATAGTTTTGTTGTAGAAAGGAATGAGTTTATATGTCACTTTTTGTCAATATTGGTATATTTAATAATTAAACCTACTAGCGTGCTTTTGAATAGTGTTGTATATTTTTGTGGGTTGGGAATTATATTGTTACACCGAATATGTTAATGAGACACTAAACTTGTGTATATTTCTTTTTGATACAACAACTAATACAACAATTTTTGATAAGAATGAGTAACAACAAAATGACAGTGTTGCCATTATCACTATAAATATTTTTAATACATAATAATCTCCTAGGCTTAATTATGTAACACACATATATATAAAAACAAAATAAATTATTCAAAAATTCAAACAAGATTAATCTTTTATAAGTTCATTCTTGAAACGGGGTAACGTTCTCTTTGTGAACGGCGGGTGATCTAAAACAAACGAGTTGGTTTATTTCCTGGATGAGCCTGTTGTTGGTTGGTATTTGTTGCTGTTGTATTTTGTTGATCCAAGGGAATGGCAATACGGCGGAGTTGATTTGTGTGGCGTTTTATTGTGAAACCGTCGTCTAATTTGACTAGGTAATGTAGACGACCAAGGATTTGTACTACGGTGCCATAACGCCACAATTTGGATGATGTATAATTTCGAGACTGTACTCGTTCTCCCAGACGTAAAGAGATATCTACTGCAGGTTGAACTAAAGGTCCATTGTAGAATGTTCGACATTTTAGAAGATCAAAGCGAATTCGTAGTTTCCTTTGTAGAAAAAGTTCAGCTGGTGATTTGTCCGTAGTTGAAAGTGGTGTAGCTCGATAGTATAGGAAAATTTCTTAAAGTTTTTCATAAAAGGTACCTGGATCAGTACTCATGCACTATAGGCGATGTTTCAGTGTTTGAACATAGCATTCTGCTTGCCCATTTGTTGCAGGATGTCCAGGAGCAATGAACTTTTGTTGAATTCCATTCCTTGTGCAGAATGATTTGAATTCTTCAGAAGTAAATATTGTTGCATTGTCGCTTACAAGAATAGTTGGAATTCCATTTCGGGCAAAAATTTCCTGAAGGGCATTTATTGTAGAAGATGAAGTAGGTGTACTTTTTGACATGATGATTGCAGGCCATTTAGAACTGGCGTCAACTGTAACAAAAAAATTATGGTCCAGAAAGGGTCCGGCATAATCAATATGTACTCTTTCCCAGTTTCCACTTGGGACATCCCAAATATGAGGTGGAGCTTTCTTCGGATTTTTCTGTTGATCAATACAAGCTTTACAAGATTTAGTGACTTTTTCTATATCTTGATCAATATTTTTCCAGTAGCAATAACGTCGAGCTAGTGCTTTCATCCGAACGATGCCTTGATGAGTTGAATGTAATTCCTTTAAAATTAATGTTTGTAAGGATTTAGGAATAATAATACAAGTACCTCGGAGTAGTATGCCTTCATGTAAACTAAATTCTGTTGACAGCGTTTTTCCTAATAGAAGGTCATTTTTAAGCCGTAATAACTCTTCATCTTTGTCAGTTTCTTCTTTAATAGTTTTATAAGTTACTAAATCTGTAGTAATATGGTGTATTGTAGCATTTTTTGTGTCTTTGAGGATCTGTACATTCCATTTCTTCACCGTCATGTCTCTTAGCCTGTCTAATCTCTTGAAAACTACATTACATTTCATCATTAGAAGATTGTGGTCGCTATCAGCATCCGCTCCTGGGTACGTTTTGCATCTGTGGATTTGGTTTCTGAATCGTTTCCTTATCAGTATATAATCAATTTGATATCTTGCAATGTCTCCAGGCATTTTCCACGTATATCTTCGTCTTCGGTGTATGTTCTGAAATGTATTAGCTATCGACATATCATATTGCTTACAGAAATCTACTAACCGCTCTCCCCTGTCGTTTCTCTCTCCAAGTCCATAATGACCAACTGCTTGGCCATCAACTCCTTCTCCTACTACTGCATTCCAATCACCCATTCTGACTGTTGTTATCTAAGACTATAATAAGAAAACTTGTCACTATTGCTGAACTGCACTCTACAGTACCTACTATTTTTAGTAACAAAAGGTACGATTCCATTTGTTTGTATGAACCTACGTATATGAGATAATAAAGTTTTTATTATAGTAAATCTAGTATATCTATTTATATATTATTCTTCAATTAATTCAAAATCAATACAAAAAAAAACAACAAAAATGCAGCAATACAATAAATACTAATTTTTAAATACAAATTAATTTTATCCCTTAAAAATTCTCTGTGCAATTTACGTTATTTTTATCATAATAAGTACAACGGGAATAAAGATAATAAATCGTAGAGATCGGGTGTTAATTTAAATATATACAATTTTTTAACGAGGAAGGCTTTGTTAAAAGTGTATTTACCTATAATCTTCAAGCAATAAATGTATGGATTCTGGAATACAAGTATTATTTTCACCCGGTCAGATCCAGATGGTTAAAAAAGGCAAAAAATTGACGACTCAAAATAGCTTGACGAAAAATAAAATATTAGTTAATACCCAACTTGATTTAATGTTACAAAAATAGTTTTAACTCAGCTCTACTGAATCGAAGTCAATCCAGTAAGTTACATTTATTTTATTGGAATAGATCGGTCCAGGCTGAGTAGAATTGGACTGATAAAATTTTGAAGTGCTACCTTAACACTCTTCTACATCGATCAAAGTAGGAGTTATACTCCTCTAAATAGGAATGTATACAATTTTCAACTATTCGAATATTCGAATAATTATTAGAATATTCGAATACTCGAATCTTTAAAAATTAGGTATTCGAATCCGAGTATTATAATCCTTCGATGATTCAAATCCAAATTACAACACTAATTCGTACAGCTCAAGAAGTTATAGGTGAACATACAGTTGAAGCCAATTTAGCATTTATGAAATCAAATTTTTCTTACTTATCTTCTTCTTTAACATCTCTCGAAGAAAGGGGGAATAGTTTATCGAATTCCGTTGCCATCATCAGTGTCGTTTTGGAAAAATGATCGATTGCAGCATTAACTCCTCAAGGCAAACTGGTATATATTAAATGACAAAAAGTGTTAGAAAAAAATTCTATTTTAAAATTTTATCAAAAATGTCTAAAATATTAGATGGCGAAATAGATTCATTAGACGGTCTTCCGAAAAATATTGAAACAAGCGATATTGTTCATTTTAAGTACGCACCACTCAACTAGGTAGACGTAAAGCGATCATTTTCAACTTATAAAAACATATTGTCGGAACTTCGGAGATCCTTTAAGTTCGAAAACATCAGCAAAACAATTGTTATTCAATGTAATTCTGACTTATAAAAATATTATTTAAATACTTAATCAACAAGGCATTCCACTCTATTGGAACTATTTCCAGCTAAAAATTAAAAAATTAACTTTTTTCGTGTCTGCTTGCTTTTTTTTAATTTTTACACAAATAGAAAGTGGTCGTTTAGGATTGAAGCAAAACGAGTTCTTTGGCATTTTTCCGTACTTTCTGACAAAAATATTTGCAATTACGTCAAACCATTTTTTACCCCAAAAGAATTAATTTGAAAAACATTTTTGTAATTTTCGGCTCTGGACCTTTTTTATTTTTTTGGAGTAAAAAATGGTTTGACGTAATTGCAAATATTTTTATCTTGAAGTACAGAAAAATGCTAAGGAACTCGTTGTTTTTCAATACTAGGTGACCACTTTTTATTTGTGTAAAAATTTGTGTAAAAAGAAAACGGGCGGACATGAGTTTGACTTAGAAATTTTAGGTGGGAACACTTGGAATGGAATGCTACCTATACAAAATAATATTGAAGATATTATTCTAGTAAATAGACTGTTTAAAAAATTTTTTTTGTAATTAATCAACCTATGTAAAATTGTATTTTTTAATATTATGCCAGCCAATTTGGCTACTTTTTTTATTAATTAAAATTACCTATGTAAAATTGTATTTTTTAATATTGTGCCAGCCAAGTCGGCTTTGTTTTTTATTAGTTAAGTCAGGAATTTAAAAAAACATGCCTACATT